AGAGCCTTCCATAATAGTATTGTGAAATCCAAGTCAAATCAACCCTGTCCGGGGCTTAAAAATACAAATAAAAACTGCAGAATTCTGTGATGGAGGCAACTTTATATTTAGCCGTCTGGCGGCCTGTTTGCCGAAACTTGACTCTGTAGCAGTACTCCCAGTGTTGATCCTATTTGACTCCTCAGGTTGGTCAAATAGCAGGCTCTCATTCTGGCTGCTGTGGTTCCCTCTGCTGACCTCTAATCCCTGCAGGACACAGTAGTGATGTAAGGGTCATTGTTAAAACTACTGCAGCCAGCAGGGGATGCTCTCTTCCACATGTATGGAAGTGTGGGATAGGATTGGTGCGGGAGCTACGGAGAGCAGTTTCTGCAAACAGGCCGATGGACAGGTGTATAAAGTTCCTTCATTACACAATTCTACAAATGTAATTTTTTAACCACTCAGCCTCATAGTTCTAGCTGACCTGTGACAATGAAACTGTCACAGGTCGGCTCAATAGATCGGGAAGTGAGCGAACAGATACCGTCGCTGGCTCACTTCTCCATCTATCCCTGCAGAGAGCCGTGACTGTCACTCACGCCGTGATTCCCCCCCCCCCCTGTCCGATCCTCTAGCGCTGACTGGCGGAACGGACAGGGCGGGCACAGGGGAGGGCCTCTAGATAGGCAGAGCCAGCTGTCAATCCCGCAGCTGGGTGGATCCAGACAACATTGTTGGGATCCGTCCCGGCTGTGGCGTCTCAGTATACTGTAGCTCACGGTATACTGAGCTTAGGGTGATGGGAGAACGCTAGTTTGTGTCCTCACGTTACCCTTAGGAGAACTATGGGGAAATGCCCTGAGCCTATAGTTCTCCTTTAAAAAAGGTCATACTACATTATTATCATTTTTAAATATTATTACAAAGAGTTGGTGAGTGAATAAGCTGACTGAGTATAAGCAAGAGCAAAAAAATACGTAAAACCTTCTTAATGTGGGGCAAAGGTGAGCAAAACACCACACTTTCTTTCTCTCAAATGAAACTCCTGGTGCTGTTTATGATTCATCTATAAAAGTGAAAGGATAAATAAACCCAAAAACAAAAATGCAGTTTAACACAGAGTACCAGTTCTTAGATGTGGTGGCTGCTTACCCTGTACTTACATTTTCTGCAAGTACAGAACAAAATATTGATCTTGCTAGAAATCCAGTATCCTTGTAACTGTATGTGTAGTGAACTGATATATAAAACAAGAACATCAGCTATTCTAGCTATCTTCTGTGAACTACAAAACCCGTTCCTTTATGTTATATAGTTGAGGAGAGGACAAGGTATTTGTAGTTCAAATCAAGAAACTAGCCTATGGTGACAACACTGCTCCTCCATAGCAGTGGAGCACGTTAGTGTTGTCACCATAGGCAAGGAATTGTGTTATTAGTAGGATCACCAAATGAAAAAAAAGGGAAAAAAGCCTGAAAAAAGAAAATTATTGCTGCTACCACTCCTAAGGACCTGTAAGCTGCAATATATTCCATTTTCATTCTTGGTTTTAGATACAATTGAAGCTTAACTCAGATTTACACAGCAAATAGGAAGGGTCCACATTACAGAGGCAGTGATATGGACACACAGAGAAGGAATCAGCTTCATGTGCACAGAGGGTATAGTGCAAGAAAGAACAAAGTATAGAAAGTACACGTTTCCTTTAGGGACCTCACCAGGCCATATATTTTATAGATATATATATATATATATTTAGTATTCAAAAGGTTTTTGCTACGATAGATTCAACGATAGATAGATTTTTCAACGATAGATTCCAACAATCCATATAAAAACAGGATGCGAAGTGTTGGTGGTTTAACGTTGAGAAAAGCTTCTTAAGGAGTAAGAGGAATGTGAGGAAAATGGACAACGTTCTGTAAACATTGGACCAAAAGGTACGTACTATAGGGCTTGTCCACCACACATGCATGAAGGTATCCGCTTCAGGACATCCATGAAAACATTTACCATCATGGTTTGGGATACAGTGTTTTAGGTGACTAGGAACCATGTACTATCTGAATAATAGTTTATAGTTAGCTTCAAGAGATAAAGTGTTCTTGGAACATGACTTGGTGGATGCTCATATCTGGGACCAATCATCATTGCTAATATGGGAGTTAATATCTTTCTGCCATTTATCCATGTATGCGTGGCAAACCTGTGCCATTAAGAAGAGGACCATACAGTTGTAAGATAACTCCTGGAGAATGAGGATCCGTGTGACAAATGTTCTCAAAAGGTGTCATACGCGACGCATCCTGTGGGACCTTAATCAAGCAATTAATAAAATGTTTGATTTGCAGGTAACAGAAAAATTTAGAAGTTGGTAATCGGTAATTCAATTGAAGTTCTGAGAAAGGTTTTACTCCTCCTTTCTTTTACATTGATTAATGTATGGATTTGTTTTTTTTAGAGTGCCACCGTTGAGAAGAGTCAGAGGATTCCAACCCACGTGGGAAAGCAAGCAACAAAGGATACATTCCGTGCTCACACTAAAGCAGTAAAAAAGTATTTATTTTATATAAAGAATTGCATTTCCTTTGCAAAGAGAAAATTTGCTTTGCTAAGTGAATGAGATGAACTTCAGTCATCCAACCATATGCAAGCAAAAATCCTGTTTTTTGGGGGTTTTTAAAAAACAATTTCTTGCATATGACTGGGTACTCGTTGCAAAGTGAATTTCCACTTTGTTACACCTCATTCACTAAGAAAAAGTGAATATCAATTACAGAGTTCTGATCTTCAACAGTAAAATGTTTGAGATCTGAAATTCCATAAGGTCTACATTCTTGGGGTTCAGTTGCTGACTGGGGTGTCACATGTTCCATATTTCTTAATTGTCTTAATTGAAGAAGTGGTAATAATAAGTGGACATTATGGAATTTCAGATCTCAAACATTTTAGTGTCAAAGATCAAAGTACAGCTGCTTGCCTTCACCTCTATCTATTCAGAAGCAATGGGACATCAGTTGTGCACTAACATAATTTTTTATAGTCATGTTTAGAATTAGGAACAATGTTTAAACCAACATGAATGAGCAGAGTTGCGGTATGAAATAGCATATTTATACTTAGCGGCTGTGGCAGTCATTTATCTACATGTAGAGGTTAAACATGGATATGGTAACTATTATGCTCCCAGAGAAACCATTATAGCCTAAATACATCAAGGCCTGTTCATACTTTTTAAAATTTCTATGGGCAGCCAACCTTGTACATTAATTATTATACATGGTATAAATGTTCTTTTCAGGCTTGACTAATTGACATCTCTTTGTCTGGGGACAGCACAGCTAGGAGAAGGCTTGAGCTAACCATCTCATGCTGTGCATACATCCTTATCTCATGCATGTTGCCTCTGATTAGCATATAGGTGTTAAATTGTTAATTGCATGATATGATTAGAGCCCCACTGGCATGCGTTAGCCCATGCTTTGCTGATGTGGGTTGCTGGAGCATCACAATGCCAATTAGTGAAATGGTAAGTGTTTCTTTGGACCACTTTTCACCAGTTCACTATTAGGTGGTGTGATGTTTGGGGATATTAGCACATATGGTGAGTGCTATAAGGATGCACTCACAATATCTTCTGTTTAAGGGCCTGGTGGCCCACCTTTATGAAACAAAAGTTCATATATCCATTTTGGATACCCTTGCAGGGTTTGTTCAGCATAACCTGCATGCAATACTTGCAGCATAACACCAGTTTAGCCTCCTGGCTTCCATTTTAAACATTACCACTTCTGACCCACTGGTCCTTTTGGAAGTGTTGTCCCACACTTGTGCTTGCGGCTCTCCTAACCTCACCAGTCCTCCCCAGCCTCCCTGGCTGTCTTTGTGTGCCTCCAGCACACACACCACCCGATTCCACTTTAAACTCTGGGGGAGTCTTCCTGACTCCTAAACACTGTGCGCTCCTATCCCAGTAGGAGCTCACCTGACTCCTCTCTGACTTCTGGGGGAGTGCTCCTGACCCCTGAACATGGTCTGCTCCTATTTCCCAGCAGGAGCTAATTCCTCTAGCCAGCATCCTTTCCTTAAGGGCTGTGCACACCTGTGCAGTCATTGGGTCCTAGTTACTGCTAAACCCTGGACTCAGGACTAGAGCTTTCTTCCCTCCTAAATCTTTTTAAAATCTCACGATTCCTAGATCCCAAGCAGAACCCAGACAAGCCCTTGCTTCCTGACACCTCTCAACCCTTTGGCTGAGAGTCCTGGGTGATCATAACACCCAATTCTACAGTGGGATTGTCACACAATACCACAGTGGGCAAAGTGAATAATCGCCTGGCAAAGCAAATAATGGGATACCAAATCACTGGTGGAGCAATGCTTTCCTTTGTTCCCACATGTCTTATGGTGGTGTTACATGTGCAGTGTCCTCCTCTAACAAGAAACCTAAGTTCTTGTGGCTAGTTTGTCATGGTTACATGCACTTGCCTTTTCAAAGACGTTAAAGTACATTTGATGGTTCCAGATGAGAGCTAAAGTCTAATTTGCTGGAAATCAAAATGTCAGACTCAGTTATTTCTCTACAGTGTTATCTCCCTCTCATTTATTTATGACTTAATAAAAGGAAAACTTTTAAACAGTAAAAAATGATAAATTCATGAGCTTTCATTTTAAACCACAGTTCTATTGAATCAAAATTTGACAAGGGTTAACTATAAATAAATGTACAGCCGAAGCTGTCCTGATTGATTTAATCCTGACCCAGAAATGCTTGCAAGTCCAGGCTATTATTCCAGCTCTGCATTACTGTAAAACTACCCCGCAAATCTCTGAGGCCAAGGTCAATGTTATCATGTACACCTTAGTCATGTACTTATCTCGCCTGTCCTGCTACATATGGCCTTTATTTTCAATGCATGCTGCTAATGGTACCAAAACATCCTTGAATCATAGGATGAACTTTTAATATAGTCAAGCTTGGGTGGGGGATTACAGATAAATGAGAAATGTTTACTTACAGTCTTTACAAAATCAGATATGATATTTGGAACTTTCGATCCAGTGCAATGTCTCTGTTCTTGATCCAAGGTACACCTTCATCCAAGGAGATACAATGTGATGCAGTACCAGATATGTGCAGTATAATGAATGAAAGGCTGATCACCTTAAACTCATCGCTTCTCTTCTCAGCAGGATGACATATTTCTCAGAAAGCCAGCAATAGTGATAATAATTAATTCATACCATGAAACGAGGCAGCTCATGTATGGAGATCATTAGTTATGGGTCTGGTAGTGCTGTTACAGCTCAGCCCATCCTGCAGCTAAAGGACAGACTGCAATCTCATCCTTTACACGCTGCTACAGCTGTGGAACTGCAGAGGCCTGATGTTTAGAGCATCTGCAGGCTAAATGCTCAAAAGGAGGTTAAATACATCTAATCACCGCTTCCCACAGCTCATCTACAAAGACAAAAAAGCCACATGGCATTGATAGATTAACATAAGGGTGGAATGTCCACCATTGAGTGGCTCTTATTTTAAAGGGAAAGTGTCATGAAATCACTGATAACTTAAATTAAACTATTTCAGCTCCAAAGTGCTTTAGTTTTAGAAAAAGACATACATTGTCATAAATACAGTTTTTTTTGGATGGATTTGTGTTTAATCAATGACTTTCACCCTCTCTTTTCGGCAGAAACCACATGACCATTGTCTCTTCATAACTCATATTCTCATATTCTGCTTCTAATTTTTACTTATAAGACTTTTCCATGACTGATTTATAATGAATATTGCTGACTAGCATGCAGTGTGTAGCAGTATTACTAATATAAATATTAGTGGTCTCCAAGTGAACTGGACTATATGACAATGTACTTTAGAAAAGGACACGCTAGATTCATTCCACCCTTTTCCATGACTGTGAAGGTGCCCAAAACTACGAGATGATAGTCAGTCAATGATCTCATATCAGCCCGTGTCCAAGGGCATCTCCAGCCAATGCCACTCTCCGGAAATAATAATCAGGAAGTCTTGCAGCAAAAAAAAAAAAAAGTTAATAGCCCTGGCTTTAAATCAACCACAACATAGAATTAAAGACCAAAAAGCCTCCAATAATAACAAAATATAAGGCAGCAAAGAGCTTGACTGCCCAAAGAGCTAGCAATCAGAAGTAAAATACATTTTCCTAAACTGACGCTAATCTTTGCCTATGCAGTTTTCCTTATCCTTTACCTGCGGCAGCAGGACTTGCCTTGAACCCATAGTAGCGGAGAACCATCCCTAATGAGGACAGGCGTGCACTGCAGCATGACCTGCGCTGCTGTGCTGTGCGAGAGTGACAACCAGCAGATGGTGAAGGCACAGGGATAATCATTACACTCAGTAATAGGTACCTTGATGTCTGGATGTAGTTTGTTGGAAGAATAGGTCACCAGCACTCCAAATATTTAAAATTGTCCTGCATTTTAGTTGTAGTTGCGTCACTATCCGTTGACGGGTTTTCCGTGGGTCGCTCGCTGGATGTAGTTTGTAGCTACATGTCCGGCTGCCATTTAATGTTTATAGACAGCTTTAGGTTTTTTAAGTGAAACTTTTAAGATTTCTCCCAAAATGTAACTAAATGGCTACTGAGTGCAGCAAGACATCAAAATTATATGTATGATATAGCATGATTGAGGTATAGAGCTCAAATGAAAACATTAAGTGGAAGTGAAGTCTTATTTTTAAAAGTTGATAACAGGCAGGCTTTTTAATGGCAGTAGTGACTGTGTACGTCTTTTCTGTCATAGATGTTTCTTCCTGCCTCTCAGCGCTTTTTTGTACATCTGCACACTGAGCTACACATACACAGCTCAGTGCAGTCTCTGTAGGATTCTTGCCAAGATACAGTGACTCCCAAGCACATGCACATCATTGGGACCCAGTCAATCATGTGGCTGAAGACTCGGAAACCCAGAAGAGGACCAGTGGTGACCTAGGGGAGCTGCAGTAGAGAGGCTCACTTCTGTAGGTAAGTCTGTACATAGTAGCACATTATGACAATGAGCATCTGGTGCCCAATTTGTTTTATTATTTTATTTGCAGTTTACTTCTGCTTTAAGGCTGATCATGCACAGGCTCAGTTTGGGAATAATGGGGGGAAATCAATAAAGCATGTACAACACTTTTCTGGAGGTAGGGTCCCTTTAATATAACATGTTCCTAATTCATGAAAGCTTTGCAACTTTTTCGGTTCCTGTTACGACATGTGACAGATTAAAAAAGAACTTAAACTGACAGTAATTAAGAACAACTCTAATCTGGTTTGCAGAGATGCCAGTGCTCAGGGTGGGGTAAGTACAGCTTCCCACTTATGGTTTGTTGGTTGCTAGGACACTGGCCATTGGCATCCTAGCAACTTATTACCTATCCCTGGGTCCAGGTAGCTACCAGCTGGGATGTTCCCAAGCTGGCAGCTGAATGAAAACAAAGGTGTCGGGGATGCTGTTTGATATCATTACCCAAATATGACCATGGCCGACAGCATCCTTAACAACCAGTGACATTGACAGTGGACGTAGCCTGATGGGGATGCCAAGGAACTAGTTTTCCATCAAGTCCGCTCTGCTACTGCTAGACAGCAAGTGGTTGGCCTATTCCAAAGCAAAGAGCAAGCTGTTTATTGGCTGTGGAATAGACCCACTGGCTGTTGTCATTCACAAGGGGGTGGACCTGATGGGAAAGTGGTCTCTCGGAGTTTCCTAATCAGGCTCTTCTGACCCTCTGCAAAAGCCCTCACCCGCTGCATCTGCTTGTTTGACAGGCACAGTGGCCGGGCATCTATGCACCACACATGGTGCTGCTTGAACCAAATTCATGTGCTTGTTTCCAATACGATTTGTTGTGTGGATGCACGTCGGAATTCTAAAGAGTGTTGTAGACACTTTTTTTACTTTCAGGGATTATTTTTCTAAAAATCTTATTGCAGGCGACAATTTTCCAGCACAAGGTAAAATAATTTTAACCAATATATTCTATTTTATCTGCCATTGGTGGTCATTTCCTTTCAAAGTCATTTGCGTTTATTGAATATTTGTTGAGTATTCTTTAGTCTTTAATAAATCTGTATTGGCCGGTGTATGGCCAACCTTGGATATTTCCCTTTTTGAATTTGTACCTCACCTTTACTGTATGTACAAGGTGCACGCCTGTAACACATCATTAGTGTAATAAATAAGGATAAAGCCAAGTTTGTATAGACCTAGGTAGTGCCATTGATTCAAATGTGGAATTGTATTCGCATTAACTTTAATCACACTTTACTGCTGGGGTGTGTCAACTATAGCAATAGTTACAAAGAAGGGGTATCTCTTCAACATAATTTCTTTATTATCTAAGGACAATAGGTTAGGGGAATGTAGGGAATGGGGAAACATGAGTTGAATGAAAATGATGGCAGTTTCAGCTAATAAAAGTTAGAGGTCAATACTGCATTTGTTTTAACTTTAAGAAACTTTATCTTTTATCTGTGTGGCTTGTCCATTCCTATTGTCTGCTCCACCAAATCAGGTACCTGAGTAATTCTAGTGGTCCCTGATATTACAGTTGTCATTAGATCAATATTTAATGTGCAGATAAGCAAGGAAGAGCTAAACCACATAATTTTGACATTTACATGATCCTACAGTGTTACCTTGTACTACTGTGGCTGGATTCACATTTTCTTTGCATGTGTTCACGCATTTGTATGTGCATTATCAATAATTATTTATTTTTGAGTGCTGCACTTGTCATCAATAGGCCCTATAAGACGTGTAGATGCATCAAAAGTTGGACACAACGTTGGGGGTGATTTACTAACCTAAACACACGCACGCACTAGGTGCGTGTGATTTTTACACAGCAAAACGTATTTATCAACCAAAAAGTCACTAAAAGCATATTTCCACTAATGCCATATATGGAAAAATCATGCACATGATGCATATATAATGCTGCTTCACAGTTTAGACAAAAATGGTTAGCTCATGCATTTACATTCCTGCATTCATCAACGCAAGCAACACAACATAGAGCTAATTTACACAACATCACCTTGCAAATTCATGCTTGGCTTTGCACAACACACCTGCTGGGTGTGTACACACTACAAAGGTGTTTAGATTCCACCCATACATCATGCTGGGAGGGAACACACTACAGAGGTGTATACATGTTCGTGGTGTGTTTATAAGGTTAGTAAATCAACCCCAACATGTCAATACATATACACAGATGTGAACTAGCAATATGACGGAATAAACGTCAGTCAAAGTACCGCAGCGCTGAATACTGAAAAATGGCCTGGCAAAGAAGGGGGTCTAAACACCTGGTCTTGAAGTGGTTAAAACAGTTTTTTGTAAATTCTGTATTTAACCACTCACCGAAACAGATGAATTAACAGGAAAAAATAAAAGTATGAGAGTCCTTCCATTACAAACCAACATGGTGATTCGTACACGTCAACATAACTAGGCAAATCACATGTCCTAAGAAACGTTAATCATCATAAGATAGAACCAAATGCTACATCTGCTCTGCAGTTCCATTTTCCATAAGAGTAAGAGAAGATAGAAAGAAGACAGGCAAAATAAAAAAACAAAGGAGTAAAGGATGAAGAGGAAGGGGAATTTGAAGATGAAAGAAAGTGAGTTAGGGTTAAAAGAAAAAGTTAAGGAGAGTACAATAATGAATAGTTGAAAACAGACATCAGTGTAGAACCACAATAGATTTAAGCAGGGGAGGGGGGTGGCCAGGGAAGACCACAGTTCGGGCTAAAGGCATGTTTATACAGCACCAGACAGAGATTCATCAGATGCCATGACATCACAGAACTCTGAAGAAAAGCAGAAGTCTAGCCAATAAAACTAGGTCTTACAAAATGTGTCCTCCCTGTGCTTCAGCGTGGCTGTCAGGCATTCCATTCTTTCAATGTCACAGATCGTATTATACCACAGTGCTGGTGCGGGAGAGGTGGTGCTCTTCTACAGTACCGGAATGCACATTTTGGCCGCATTGAGTAAATTAATCATAACGGATTTCTTATTTTTGTTTCTTGAGAGACCCAAATGGTGTAGGGGATAGGACGCCGCATCATCTCCCAGATCTATTCCTAGTCAGGGCCCTAACCCCAGTCCAGAAGTCTCTCAACTTAGTGCAAGACCAAAAGACATAAAGAAGGATACCCTTCTCTTGGCCACATCTCCAGCACTTGTCAGAACCTTGGAGGTATAGCTTGTGGAGAACCGAGGGAACTCTATACCATCTTGTGAGGAGTTTGAAGTTAGCTTCCTACATCCCGCAGGCCATGGACGCTTGATGGGAAAAGAACAAGATGTCCTTCCTCTGTCCCAGCATTAAGGTCACCTGAAGGTCCCGTTCCCATTTAGGCAGGAAGGGTGGTACATAGGAATCCCAAGGTTGTATTAGGAGTTGGTAAGACAGAGATAAGGCATGCTGAACTGGCTCACATTC